GAAATGATATTAACTACAGAAATACAGCCAAGACAAACCACACGTGTCAGTGCCCAACTATTCTTACACTAACATATTCCCTTGGTGTTTTTAAATTAAGAGGAAAAGAGATTATGAATGAATGGGCAACACGACAATCTTTCAGTCCTTACATTTCAAGATGATTTACAGTTTCTCAGGCACTCCGTGTTTGTGTGTTCGTGTGCCTGTTTGTCTATACCGTGCCTATACCATTCGAGTCCTGTAAACAGCTCCCTAAATAATTCAGCTGGGGTTGACCTCTGCAAAGCAGACAGGATCAAACATTTAACACATTCTCATAATTATTACAGTGCTGCAAGTGAATACAGTCTCGCTAAGGGGCTGAGACAGATATAAGATCCGAGACAAATATGCGAGATGCTGGCTGTGCCTTTTTGAGCTGCATTAAACTGGTCGTTTAAACGGTGTAAACTTGATTATAGTGCAAACATGATTAGTTCCCATCAGAGCCGAATCACTCCTGATAGTGAGTTACAATAACAGAAGCGGACAGGTTGGCAGCGCTGCAGGCTGCTCACTTAATAGGCAGTTAAGAAAAATGTAACAGATCCAACGACTGTAACAAAATTTTAAGGAATAAATTTTGATGTCAGGTACTTTGTTGTAAGGTGGAGTTACTCGCTGAAGCTGAGAACAGAATTTAGTCCCAGTATCGATGACATCTGTTAAAATCAAGCCGGGCTTTTACGATCCGTTGAAATGACACAAAGTAAGGAAATTGTGATTATTTTGGCAAGGCTTCTTAGAAAAAGAAACTTTTCTTGGAGCCAAAATGTAGTGGATTTGGTAGAATTGTGAACATTTTAGTTTATGACATTTGCAGGGCCTTTTTACATTGGCTGTGTTTATTTTATGTGGGGTTTTTTGTAACATTAAAATTGCATTAATATAATAGAAATATTTTTAGGGTTTCAGAGTATTTAATATTATGACAATTTATTATTATGACAACTGACTTTTCTGGCATTGCAACAAAAATAACTTAAGAAAAGATGTTTTGATGCTCCACTGTTCCCATAAATTTTATCCTGACTTACAGTAGATCTGTCAGATGCATCAAAGATGTGAAAACAAGAACACTCAGATTGCTTTAATTGAGGACTGTCTATATTTTTGTGTAAATAATAGAAAAGGAACTAATCCTTTTCTTCCTCCTCATTAGGCCAAGAATTCTTGTAGGTAATTAGGGTCAGGAAGTACAAGTTTTAAGAGTTGTATTGACTGCTCTGCGCTGTTTTCTGACTCCCATTACCCAAGCAGCCACTTAAAAGATTTCTTTTCTACGGAAAGAGAAAAACACACCAGCTATCGTTGCAGAGTTATCTTTAAGGTTCTGCCAGTGGGTGCTTCAAAATAAATGGTCAAGGTAAAGGGAAACAATCTGAGCCTCAGACTATGGAAACCTCATTGTAAATACTGTGTTAATAAACCTATTTGAAGCTGTTTTAAAAACAAAAGAATGCATCCTAACTAGATCTTGACCTAAAATTAAAACAGGTGAAAAATACTCTATATTTTGAAGCAAAAAAATATTAGTAAGAGCGCATTTATAAGTGTTATGTTTTATAGGTGTTTGAATTTAGAAAAAAAAGTGGAGTGATTTAAAGAGAAAACAGCTGACTGACGACAGGCATGTTTCCTGTTTTCACAATTGTTAGCCAGACTTTAAGAATCTATTGAAAATATTCTTCTAATCGAGCTTCTACAGGCGTTCTGTGCTTAAACTAAAGTTAATGTGGCAATAATTCGTTTCACCTCAGAGAGAAGAAAACTCTTTAGAGTCTGGGGGCGATTCCCTGAAGCAGGGATGCTGGGACGGAGCCGGGAAGGATCCGCCTCACAGGGGGGCGATGTTGGGGGCGACGGGGCGAT